AGATAGACAGAGAATGTGGGAGAGAGAGAAAGAGAGCGAGTGAGAGAGAGAGAGAGAGAGGAGAGTTAGAGAGAGAGAGAGAGAGAAGAGAGGAAGATTGAGAGAGAGAAGAGAGGAAGATAGAGAGAGAGAAGAGAAGTAAAGATAAAGATAGAGAGGGAGAGAGAGAGAGAGCGAGCGGGAAGAGTAAAGGAGAGGAGAGATTGAAGTAATAGAGGAAGAGAGAGTGAGAGAGAAAACCTTGTTAGGAAAGAGACAGAGCGAGAGGCTTATATACAGAGAAAGAAAAAGAGAGAGAGAAGTAATAAAATAAAATTTGTCTTTTAGAAGTAGAGAGAGAGAGAGAGCGCTGGAAGTAGTAAATTGGTAGAGTAAGTGAGAGACAAAAAAGTTAATGAAAAAAAGATTAAGTTATAAAGAAAGAAAGAGAAGAGAGAGTGAAAAAAGAGAGAGAGTGAGAGAGAGAGAGACACAGATAAAATAAGAGGAACCATTAGATAGTAAAATAAATAGAGAACAAATTTAAGACAGATGTGGAAGAAGCAGAGAGAGGGAGAGAGAGTGTGTAAAAAAGTAGTAGTAGTAGTCTGAGAGGCATCTGGTAAAAGGGAATTGAAGAGAGGGTAAGATGGATAAAGAGACGAAAAGAAATATAAAGTGTAAGAAAAAAAGAGAGCGAAAATCTGTAAGGGTGCAGAAGAGACCAAGAGACAAAGTTAACGTAAGAGAGACAACTTCTGCTTGATAAAATGGTAATTGGAGTCTAGAGATAGAGAGAGCGAGAGAGAGAGAGGGAAATGGTTGATGGAGGGGGGGGGACGGAGATCTCGACTAAAATGAAAAAAAAAGTAAGTCGAGCTAAAATACTCAGTTATAACTAACGACCAATAACTTGAAAATTAATGTTTAATTAATAATTTAAAAATAACGACCGCCCTCCTCCTCGATTTTCAAAAATTCAAGTAGGGCCTGCCCATATGGATGTAATTTCAGTGCATTTTGGTTTTTTTTAATGTAATGTGGCTAAAAACGGAAAGTGTAACGTGAATTTAAAATGTTGTAGTCTTTATTGAAAGTCAACGAGCGCCCTCCTCCTCGATTCTCAAAAATTCAAGTAGGGTCTGCCCATTTAGATGAAATTTCAATTATTCTTTTTATCGTGTGATTAACAGCGGCTGCAACTTGAAAATATGATATGAATTTAAAATTTTGTTTTAATTGCGTATACTTAACGGCAAGAATTAAAGTTTGGCGAACATATTATGTACTAGCACGCGATCGACTGGATGAATGGTAAGTGCAAATGTTGTAGATTAATTAAATTGAATAATTTCCTCCCGCATATAACAATACTGATAAATTTCAAAACAACCGGCTTACATATTCGTGAAGATAAAGTCATTTTATTTGGTATACTTGAATACAAATACATTTAATATATTTTATGTTGAATCTTTATCTAATAAGAGTAGTTGTTACATTTTACACAAAATATATATAAAGGTAGCATCTTCTCTTATGAAGAGCACAATTCTATCCGATCCACTTCTAACGCCATAAACCCAAATGCATAGGGCGATCCTTTCACATACATACACACACACACATAAAGTGTTGAAGATATTTTATTTTCCAGCTCCAGGTGCCCTGGGATTGGGTTCAGTGCGCAACAGCTGCTTATGCTGTCCAATCATGTGCTCAATATGATTGCATTCCCGCAGCTCGCCCTTGAACTGATCGAGGGTCTCATAGAGCACTGGATAAAGGGCGGGCAGCAGTCCATGATCGAGAGTGGGGAACAAATGATGCAGCACATGATCACCAAAGTGAGTAAGTACTAGAAATTGTGACCATTTCAAGTCCCCGCGATCGATTATGGTGTCCACCTGAAACAGGCCCCAGTCGCGATCCTCACGATTCGCATCGCCTTCGTGATAGATCTCCGGGTCATGATGCGCCGCATTCAGTCCGATTACGCAAAAAGCAAAGCTGGCGATGGAAGTCATCGATAGCCACAGCCGTAAACAGCAAAGTAAGCCCGCCGATTCGCCCGATCCGTAATACATGACCAGGGGTATGGAGAGCGGCAACAGATCGTGCCAGTACATAATATTCGTGTGGCGCAGCGAATAGAAGATGCTATAAATAAACTATTCCGTTTATCAATTGATCAGTTTAAAGATTATCAGGCACCTACCGCATGCCCATTTGCATGAAGAATGCAATGGCATAGGCCAGCGGCTCCGTGACCCAAGATACATAGCGCAGCGCCTTGGTCTTAATGTGCGGATTGGGCACCCAGCAGAGCAATGGCTCGAACATGCTTAGCTCCAGATCCATGTAGGAATTGGGATAGATGTGATGGGACAGGGCATGCGAGATGCGCCACGAGCAAAAATTCATCATGCCCAGATTGAAGGTGTACATCTGCCAGTTATCGCGTCGATGGAAATAATTGTGGGACACGATCACCGTCCAGCAGAGCGCCACACCTGCGAGAATCAATGCCAGCAGACTGTCATACTTGGCGCTGGCCACGGCAAACAGATAGGTGGAGAGCAATATGCCCAGATGGATCATCTAAAGGTGGGACATTGAACAAAGATCGTCAAGGATCATCAGGGATCATCTACTCACATCGCTCTTTCGCTTGGGCCGCTTGTCTATCGTCTTCAGCTTCTCCCGCACGCGCTCCTTCAGCGTCTTGTAGAAGCCGTCCTCGTGCAAGGTCAGCGTGTAGATTCGCGGCTTGGCCGCATCCCGCACCTTGTACTTGGCAATCATCTTCTCTGGCGTCGTGGTCAGATGATGTGCCTCAAATGCTTCGGTAATGTCAGTGCCTTTGGTTTCCCGTATCCAGAAGGTGCCGCCGGGATGCTTGTCAATGAATTCCGTTAAATCGTAAATGCCATCCTTAATGCGCCAAAGTCCTTCGGCTTCATCATCCTGACGTTTGCCCTGCTGCCAGCTGTGAACTGTGACCAGCGCCGAGTTGCGATATGTGGGAAACTTGGTGGCAATTCCGCTCTTCTTCCACGTCTCAATGACCATTGTCCTAGATCCTTGCTGAGGCTCTCCCTTTTGCGTATAGAACCTAACTCGAGCTGTTTTCAACGCGTACTGAGCGTCATTTAGAGCGCGTCTAGATTATAAGTGTCGACCTAAGCCGGTCACAAATCGATGCATAAAGAACAAGTTGTTGAGAGTGACCGACTATAAAATACTCCGTTGTTCATACTTCATTGTAAATATGCGCAATTTCTCGTGGTTTGCCATCTTCTAAGATTCATCCTCTAATAACTTTTAAGCTAATTTACTGATTTTTGTGAAATTTTAAGAGCTTTATATGAGAATCCAATAATAATAATAATAATAATCGATTTTTTTCGATACTGGAAGAGTTATCGATAAATTAAAACTAGATTGGTCTGTGAAAGGGATTCGTGAATCGTAATTGAATAATCTCCAAGAAGCACCTGGCTACATTAACTCAAGATTGTTAATAGTTTATTTCTTTGCCTGTTACAAAGATTTTCACACATTCCATATGCCCTCTTTCAACCATTTCCAATAGTTGCTGGGTATCAAAATATTTCCATTATGATAACCGTGACGCGTCGTGTTATCAGTCGCAGCGATGTCGAGTCTGTGATCACACTTATTACACTGGCAGCTCAGCCAAGAGTTTTGTACCCGATGATATCGTTTCCCCTACACGTGACACCACACTGCCCCACGGTGGCGCGTGTGGTGGTCAATCCACCGGCAATCGGCTTGCAATCAGTTAGTAGTTAGGTTGAGCGCTCCCTCCCCGCTGCTGGGGTCAGGCCTAGGTCAATATTCCGCTGATACGCAGCTAGTTTTGAGGAAGCGTTGCACGTTTTGCAAAGCTAACCGCGACGCAGCACATTTATGTAATCAGATGGAAAAATTACTTTTTAATAGAAATAGAAATTCACTTAAGGAACAATAAAAAGTGTTTACAAAAATTTGGAAGATAAGGGTATTCCAGCTATGCAATCTTTTGAAGGCATTTGAGTATTGTCATCAATTTTGTAACGATTGATGAAATTATAATAAAAGTAAGAATATGTATTCATGGTCGGGTTGATCGACAAACCTATAATTACAATTATGTGTAAAAGAGAAGAAAAACTTGAACTGAGTTCTTTTATATTTTATTTTATTTGATTTTCAAATACATTGGTTTACAATTACTTTTTGATCGATTTACCATATATGTCATGTGTGCAAGAGCATTTAATCTTCGGTGTTCCGTTTCCAACTATGCTTTCTTGTGTATTGTTATTTGATGATCATTATAGACTAAGATTTGTCCAATGGAAATCTAACAGTGTCCGAATTTAAGTAAAAATGTAAATAAATCTATCTTCTATAACAAACTTTCAGGTTACTCGTCAACCATATCTTAAGCTTTCATTAAACTTTTCAGATGACTTGTATGCCTTTTGAAATAGAACAATAGAAAATAGAAAAATAGAAAAATTAGAAAATGGTATCGAGCAAAAAACTGGCCTGTTCTCGAGCTATTTCATATATTATGGTGTTACCTATCTACCCAAATAAGTTTTAGGTAGTCTTTTAACTTATCTAAAGCTGTTATGCGTGCCATTTTCAGTATCTAGTCATGGGGCTTTGAAGTGGTTCATGGACATTTGACATATTGTACGGATTCTTAAGTGAATCAGAATGGTATGGAGACCTGATAGGTCTGATCATGATGAGCTTTATTTTATGGCAAAATGTTTCCCTTTAAAAACTCTGAGAGCCTTTTCAGCTCAGCCAAAGATGCTATGCATGCGTTTTCAGTATCTTGTCATGGGGTTTTGCAGTGATCCATTTACATTTCGTTGCAATGCAGTTAGTTCTGTGGTGTTGGAGCGGCCCATTTGATAAGAGGCGCTACAAAAGCTGAAAGCTCGCCGAGCTTTTATAATTTGTCGAGTGGTGCGAGACAAAAGCAGAGCGACGCTCCACGGGGCGAATCATAAGCGAGTCGAGTGGGGTCTGCGAACAAACAGACCGGTTTTATATATTTATATGAGCTCTTGGACTTCGGCTAACACAAATAGATAGATATAGAAAACATTTGTGATTAGTCAAAAGATTAGACTCTAAATATGTCACCCAATGCGGAGCTGGAGGCCTGGCGCATTTCGGGCATATCCCGCACATATCCCAGCTATCGCAGAAATTGGCCCATCACTGATGAGAGGTGCGTAGCTCGACATAGTCTATAACTATGGTGTTGGACCATATCCCAAGGGTCACTCACAGTTGCCCCGCCCTTGCAGCTGGCTGGAGGGCAAACACCGAGACGACGAGGCCGAGGGTCTGTGGCGCATCAATGATAAGCTCTACGACTTGACGGACTTCGCGCAACGGCATCCGGGCGGCGCGTTCTGGATCGGGCGCACCAAGGGCACCGATATAACCGAACCCTTTGAATCACATCACATCGAGGAGCATGCCGAGCGGATGCTCAGCAAATTTGAAGTGCGCCCAGCCTCGAAGCCGCGAAATTATAAGTTTACGCTGGAGCAGAATGGCTTCTACTTGACCCTAAAGAGGCGAGTGCGAGCGAAGCTGCGAGCGCTTAATTATCGACCCAGCTATAAGACAGATGTGAGTATAAAAAAAAAAGAAAGTCGTTTTTAGTATATTTAGATTCAGGTTTAGGAATGTGTGTGTTAACAGAATATCACAAAACTGTTTCTAACAGATTTTTTTCGTATATTTGCAGCTACTTCACAGCGGCATCCTGATCTCAGTCTTCCTCTTCAGCTGGGCCGGCACAGTCCTGGACTCCTTGGTATTGCGTGCCCTTGCGGGTCTGGCGCTCTGCTGGTTATCCACCTCGGCGCACAATTACTTCCATCAGCGTGACAATTGGCGCATGTATAGCTTTAATCTAATACTGCTCAACTTTAATGGCTGGCGCATATCGCACGCTCTTTCCCATCATGTTTATCCGAACTCGCTGCATGATCTGGAAATGTCGTTCTTTGAACCCTTCCTCTGCTGGATACCCAGCAGGCACTATGCGAGCCGGCACCAGCGTCTGATCTCCGTGCTGATATCACCTTTTATATATACGGTCATAAGTCTAGTGCAGTTAACACAACGGTTAGTTTTCCCCTATTATCATACTTTCGGAATAATCTATATGTATTTATATTTCCCTTACAGTCTGGTCTACTCCCTGGTCAAATCGAATGTTCTGTACTGGCACGATCTTTTGGGCTTTACCTTGCCTGCCTTTCTGTATATCTCGACAAGTGTGGGTCTTGGCTCCGCGATCACTAGTTGGTTTATTATTTTGGGCCTGGCCAGTTTTCTGTTCGGCTTCATCGGCCTGACCGCAGCTCATCATGATCCTCGCATTTATCACGACGGCGACGCCACGCGCTCTGATCGCGATTGGGGTCTCTATCAGCTGGATACGATCATCGATCGTGGCGACATCAAGTGGTCCGATCTGCTGGTGCTCACCCATTTTGGTGAGCATGCACTGCATCATTTGTTCCCCACACTGGATCATGGTGTGCTGAAGCAGCTCTATCCGGAGCTGCGGCAGACCTTGCGCGAGTTCAAGTCTGAGCTGCGCGAAATTAACCACTGGGGTCACATCAGGGGTCAGACCCAGCAGCTGTTGCGTATGGAAACGAATCCAATTCCACCGGGCAGCAAAAAATTGAAATAGTTTAAGTGCTGATATAATTGTCGTGGTGAATGGGTGAGCTTTGATATGGCCACCAAATAAATGTATAAACTTCTGTGTAACTAGACGAGTAAGTAAAAATTGTGTTTCCGACAATTATAAGAGAGTATTATTCTCTTGATTAGCTGGAAAAATGGGCATGATAATAAAACTTTTTTTAATATATTTATTATATTCTCTCTCTCTCTCCCTCTCGTTCTCTCTCTCTCTCTCTCTCTCTCTCTCTGCTCTTAATCGCAGTTTTCTTTGTTCTTTGATTTATGTTCGATAGTATGTTTGACAAATAATATCCCAAGTATATAGATTGAACTGCTGTAAACGTATATCTAATAACCTTCTCTTTAATCGCCAGGCAGAGAGTTTGGCAATAAAGAGATAGGAATTCCTCAGGATTGCTCTCTTAAAATTTCAAAAGATGATTTCGATTTGATATATATTTGAGAGGTCATACGATATATATGAATTTGATGGGTAAAGTGAAAAAATTGAGAACAAATTACAATTAAGAGAGCTGAGAGGGAGAGAGAGAAATAGAAAATTAAGTGCATGAGAGCTTTAACATTGTCAGAATAAGATCGCAAAAGCTTTTGCTGTATCATTCTGACGCTACACACGACACCTTTTACATATTCTTAATGGGAATCCACAATTTGTCCAATCGAGATATTTTTAAAATTTACGATATGTATGCGTAAAGTATAGTCGAGGCTGTCCGACTAGAAAATACCCTATTCCCAAAGTTGATTGTCGTAAATTCAAATACAATCGTAAGCTCGAGTGGTTACAACATGAAAACTGTACCTTAAAATCGATATTTATCGATATCAAAAAAATATCAAAGTGAAAATTTGGCTTGTTAACCGTAAAAGATATACGAAAGTCTACATGCTTAATTTATGATCAAGTATAAATAGATGCATAAGGGTCTTGATTGTACTTCCTCCCCTAATATACCCTATTTCAAGCATTTTTAATGGGTAAATTTCAGAATTTTAGCTAGCCGAAACGTTAATACCCTGTAAGTCACGCTGACTTCATTATAAATAAAGATAAGAATTATAATAAATAACTATATATGCTTGTATATTATGTATATAAAGTTATAATTATATAACCGAACTATTGTACAACTCACGTAGTTGAGTTGCCAACCCACGGCTGGAGTTAATGATAGGCAAAAAATTGGTAGTCGATCGATAAGCGACTCGTTTGGCATTGGTTATAAATAGACTGCTTTGGGGCTACAGTCACCTAGTTAAGAATAAAGCGTTCCACCGAACAGTCGTCAAACAACATGGTTGGGCTACGGTTGAGCATAGTTGGGCTCTGCCTGTTGATGATCGCATTGCCCGCGCGGGGCGCCAACATTTTGGGCCTGTTCAGCAGTCACAGTCCATCGCATTTGATACTCCACATGTCAATGATAAAAACGTTGGCCGAAAATGGTCACAATGTGACCGTGGTGACCATGATGAAGCCCAAGGTCACGCACAAAGATATACACGTGATTGTGGTGCCCATGACGGATGAGCAGGAGGAGATAATGGAGGCTCAAATGAACGAAATGGCTGGACAAAAGAGCTCGGCCTTCGATACCATGCGGCGTCTGATGAGCGGCATGAGTGTGATGATTGACTCACAGCTGGAGCTGCTGTCGGATCCCCGTTTCCAGCGCATATACGAGACTAAGTTTGATTTAATGTTCATGGGCTATTTCATCAACGATTTTCAGCTGGGCGTCGCCGCCAAGCTGCAGGTGCCGGTAATTATCTCCTGGATGCAGGCGCCCATGTTCGCCGTCGATGAGCTTGTGGGCAATCCCAATTTAGGAACGCCATTGGCACGTGGCGAGAAAATGAGCTTTGCTAAGCGTTTGCAGAACCTGGGCATGGAAGTCCTTGTTAGGACCATGTGGTCGATATTCGACCGTCGCCTGGAAAGGTACTATAATCAACAGTTTGGTCATGAAGACAACTTTCCGACGCTGGCCGAGATGAAACGCAATGTTTCCATGCTGTTCACCAATAGCCATTCCCTCAGTGAGGGTCCCATCAGGCCACTTGTGCCGGCCGTTGCGGAAATCGGTGGCATTCAGGTCAAAGAACAGCCCGATCCCTTGCCGGAGGACATTGCCAAGTTTTTGGAGAAGGCGCAAAATGGCGCCATTTTGCTATCCCTCGGCACGAACATCAAGAGCACGGCTGTCAAGCCCGAGCTGGTGCAGTCCATATTCAAGGTGCTGTCGGGCCTGAAACAGCATGTGATCTGGAAGTGGGAGGACTTGGATAATACTCCCGGAAAATCGGCAAATATCCTTTACAAAAAGTGGCTGCCACAGGTAGACATACTCGCCCATCCCAAGATCAAGCTCTTCATCAACCATGCGGGCAGAGGTGGCATCACAGAGGCGCAATACCACGGCGTACCCATGCTGGCTCTACCGATCTTTGGTGATCAGCCCGGCAATGCGGAGAATATGCAGAAGGCCGGCTATGGCGTGGCCCTGGACTTGCTGCAACTCAATGAAGAGAACTTCAAGGCAAATATTCACGAAGTACTCAACAACAAGCAGTATGCCCAGACGATCGGTCAGTTCTCGCAGCTGTACCGGGACAGGCCCCTCACGGCCAAGCAGACGGTGCTCTACTGGACCGACTATGTGCTGCGGCACAAGGGCGCCCCACATCTGCAGAGTCCGGCCGTGCACATGAGCACAGTGGCCTACCACAATCTAGATGTTTATGCTGTACTTGCAGCTGCCCTCTCCCTTGTCCTGATCTTGACTTGGCTTGCACTCAAATTCACTTGCCGCAAGCTATGTGGCAAGTCCAAGACGAGCAAGAAAGTGAAGAGGCAATGAGTAAAAGTAATCAAAAATTATATTAATTCGTAAGAATTGTCTGAAATATATTTATATTAATAAAACGGCCAAACTAAATTTAAGCTTAAGTCTTTGATTCATATTTACGTAACCCTGCTTCATTGAATGGGAAATAATGTACAAAAGTATGATAATAAATAATGTACAATAATATAATATTCGAGGCTATAGAGTATACACATTGGTATGTGCTTGATCAGAATGACGAGCTGAATAGAATGTTTGAAGTACTTTGACTGCTGCGTGCTTGTTGACGTGCCATCACGAGAAATAAATGTCGTTAAGTTGATAAAAATAACTTTTAGTTGAA